AACATAAACGAACTTAAACAATTTTATCGATCATCACGTGATCGAGAAAAATTTGTTGGCGATACTGGGGAAGATCTTGTTCGCCACCACTAAGCTACTTATAATTAATTACGTAGATGTTTGTTGTTGATCACGTTAGGGAGATTTACAGAATCTTGTAAATCGATGTTCTTTGCTGTGAATTGAGACATCTAAACTTAAAGGGATAATAAAGACAATAAGAATGTCTCTGGTAGGTGTTTAAAAAAGAACCATTCCACAAGACCTGTTAGTTAAAAAAAGAAAAAACTACCCAACAACTCCGGTTAAAAATAGCTTTTAGTAAATGCATACATAAGCTCCGCTCCGGGTAAATGCACACATAAGCTCCGGGTAAATGCATACATAAATTCTAGAATATGCAAATTAACAACTGTACCGAACCGTGTTATTATGCATTTCTAGTTAAAGTTACCAAAGAGTTCGCTAACAGCCAATTTTAGAACCAATTAATACGTATTAAAAAATGTTTGCATATAATTTAATCAATAAAATTTTAAATAATTATAATTTTCTTCAACCTTACATAAATCCGAGGCAGACATGTCGTTTTTGAGTGACAATACATTGTACACAAATGAGATCATAAAAAATTTTTTCATCTTGCTTTACCTTGCCTCGTGTTAAGAAAAATCTCTAGAGAAACTTCATAAGTTTGTATTGCAATGATCATATCTACTACGGATCCTCATTTAAATTGTACCACTTTAATTTATTGACTATCTGTTTTGAGGAGACAATTCTCTACGTATAAGAAACATAGACATCTTATTACTAATGTTTAATCAATAATTATTATTGATCGTTGCGCAAAAAGTATTTGTTTATTACCATCTGATTGTTTAATCGGATCTATTTTGCAGAAAAGGATGGATACACTGATGATATCCCTGATAATATAATACCCCTTAAGTAAACTTTTCCAAATAGAGCAGTGTCACAGTTTAAGCCGAGGCTAGGTCTAAGTAGTGAAATTCATGTTTATTAGTCAACCCCAAGATAGACTCAGATATTCTACGCCTCAATTTTCTTTGACTTCTCTGCATAAACTTTCAATAAACATTCCTAAACTTTTTTTTTTTATATGCATCTTTTACAAGAACCTTTTACAAGAACCTTTTAAAAGAACCAATAATTTAATTATTCTCCGAATTCAATTTGAATAAAAACGAATTTTATCCTTATGCATTCTAAATTACTGTTACTCAGTTTTCTTCCCAACTTAGACTTATTGGTGTAAATGGTAACATTGCAAATAAAATATTATTGGATTTAATAATGCGTAATTATGCGTAATATATGTATTTCTTACCCTCGGCATATTGGCGTTTGCAATTATTTTGACGATACTTACATAGTCTCTAGACAATATAATCTAGAGGAATCTTTATTTCATTTTAAATTTACTATTTTTAGAACATTGTATAACAATAACGATTATATTTCAATAAATATTTATGTTTAAACTTTAATTTACCGGGAATTAAGTCAGCAAGAAAATTTAACAAATGCCTTCTCTTTAGCGATATGTCATGTCATGCTATGCAAGCAGTACTTTTTTAATGTCTGACAAAGAGAAGCCAAAAAATTATGAACCAATGTGTTGATTTGTTTTTGTTATTTTATTGATTTGTTCAATGATGAATCTTCCAAGCATTTTAACAAAATCGAAGTTGAACGCTTATGCAAAATCAAAAAGAAAAATCATGCACGCAATACATAGCGATGACCTGTTGAGTTACCTGTTATACATCTAAATTTATTAACAATCCTGTTTCAATGGTTCCTTTAAATCACAAGTCCTAGTTTTCCCTTAATAAGGCAAAAAACGTCGGACTCGAAATGCACTGTATCTATATTGTAGTACCTTGTTTTTGTTCAAAAAGGAATCTCTTACCAAGCAAAGATATGTAACGTCTTAATTCATGTTGTGAAGGAATAAATTAAATTGGCAAATTGTTTTATTACTTACCTTTGCCATCAAATCGGATTCGAGATGTTACCATTGAAATTAATGCATCTTTAATTAACATTGTCAACAAATTCACTTGCGAATAATTGTTGTTGTGAATAGTTGTTAATAGTTATGAATAAAATAATAATACTTTGAAAAATCGTGTCGTAAATAATGTTGAAAAGGTATAAATATCATGGAATTCTCCTCGTTATGCTTTGGCTTCATTAATCTCGATCCATTAAATTCCTAATCATCCCCCTCCTCTCTCTCTCTCTCTCCCTCACTCATTTACCATTAACTCCCTCTTTAATTATTTTCCTTCCCTCCCTTTTGCCCGTTTACTTTCCCTAAAAAAAAAAAAAAAAAAAAAAAAAAAAATCATTGTCTTCAATACCGTCTAAATCTTCAAAGGATCACTCATAAAGATGAGGTCCTTTACCTTACTCCTAATCATCATCAATACGATGATGATATTCGCCATCAGCAGTCAAGCAACCGAACTCGACAAACGTTATTCAGAATCAGTTAGTCAAAGTCATTCAGAACACAAGGAACACAGTGAAAGTAGTTCAAGCTCTTATCATGCTAAACAAGATAGCAATGGAAACAAACAAGTCGATGCCAAGAAAGAACATACCGAACATGATTCCAGTAAAGTAAGCGATAAAGGAACTTACCAAGTTAAAGGTAAAGATGGCAAAGAAGTCAAAGCCAGCTATGACCATAGTCAAAGTGACAGCAAAGATAAATCCGATAAAAAGACTTTACACATGAAGGAAGGTCATGGTAAACAAGAATTCGATGCCAACCATGAATATAGTGAAGATGAAAAACATAGTAAAAAAGAAAATGACAGCTTCAAGTACAAGGATGGTCATGGTAAAGAAGTAAATGCCAAACATAAATCAAGTGAAGAAGAAAACCATAGTAAAAATGGTAAAGACTCCGTACACTATAAGAGTGGTCATGGTAAAGAAGAATTCGATGCCAAACACAAATATAGTCAAAGTGATAGCTCAAGCAAAAAAGAAAATGATAGCTTCAAATACAAGGATGGTCATGGTAAAGAAATAGATGCCAAACATAAATCTAGTGAAAAACATAGCTCTAATGAAGACGAAGATGACAGCGTACACTACAAGAAAGGTCATGGTAAAGAAGAATTCGATGCCAGCCATAAATATAGTAAAAACGAAAAACACAGTAAATCCGAAGATGACAGTTTACACCTCAAGGATGGTCACGGTAGAGAATTCGATGCCAAACATAAATCTAGTGAAAAACATAGTCTTAGTGAAGATGAAGATGACAGCGTACACTACAAGAAAGGTCATGGTAAAAAAGAATTCGATGCCAGCCATAAATATAGTAAATCCGAAAAACATAGTAAATCCGAAGATGACAGTTTCCACTTCAAGAGTGGTCATGGTAAAGAATTCGATGCCAAACATAAATCTAGTGAAAGCCATAGCGAACACGAAAGTGAAGATGAAAGCTTCCACTTGAAGAGCGGTCATGGTCATGGTCATGGTCATGGTGATGGTGACGATGACGATTACGAATTCGACGGTGACGAATTTGACGGTGAACATAAACACAGTAAAAGCAGCAGCCATCATGAAGATGATGAAAGCAGTTATCACTTGAAGAGTGGTCATGGTGATGGTGACGACGATGAATTTGATGGTCACTATAAATCTGGTAAACATGGTGAACATGATGAAAGTCATGAAGTAACCATTAAGAATGGTCATGGTGCTGACGAAAAACATGAAGAACACGGATGGGAAGAAGAAGGTTTTGATGAACACGAAACTGTCAATGGCAAAGAAACTGTAAACAAACACGGATCCAAAAAACACGGATGGAACAAACACGGTAAAGGTAACAAACACGGAAAGAACTGGTGGCACAAGAACTGGTGGAAAAAACACAAGAAATCCCTTAAATTCCGAAGCAATAAATGGTTTGAATACTGGTGGAACCAATGTGAATCTAAAGGTGCTGACTGGTGGACCAACTGGTACAATAAGTACGCTAAGAATAATGATGATGGCAAAGACCTTGACCCAACATTCCATCATAGTAAACAATGGTGGGGACACTGGTGGAAAAAGCATGGTTGGAAAAAACAGTTCGCCAAAGAAGATTGTGATGCTAGTGAATTTATTTCAACCTATAAAAAATCCTCCCACAAAAAATCCTCTCATAAATCACTTGAAGAATTATGTACTGATGACAAATGGTTTGAATCCTGGTGGAATGAATGTCAATCCAAAGATCCTTCATGGTGGGACAACTGGTATAATAAATACGCCAAGGATAATGATGATGGTAAAGATTTAGACTCTAGATATCATCACACTGAAGATTGGTGGAAAAAATGGTGGAAAGAATTCGGCTCCAAGAAAACCATTGCAAAAGAAGATTGTGATGATGATTGGTTCAGCTTCGAATCCGAATCTCACTCTAACTCCCACTCCCACTCCGAATCTCACTCCGAATCTCACTCTAACTCCCACTCTAACTCCCACTCTAACTCCCACTCCCACTCCCACTCTCACTCCGAATCTCACTCATCTAAAGAATCTCACTCCGAATCTCACTCATCAAAAGAGTCTCACTCCACTGACAAATGGTTTGAATCCTGGTGGAATGAATGTCAATCCAAAGACTCTACATGGTGGAACAACTGGTACAACAAATACGCCAAGGATAATGATGATGGTAAAGATTTAGACCCTAAATTCCATCACAGTGAAGGTTGGTGGAAGAAGTGGTGGAAAGAATACGGCTATAAGAAACACTTTGATGCTGAAGATTGTGAAGACTTTGATATATCTTTCGAAGATGGTTTTGATAAACATGGTGATAAACATGGTGATGATGATGATTGTGATGTATGCAAGTCTAGCAACTTTTTTGATAGCTGGTGGAGCAAATTCGAATCAAAAGACTCTTCATGGTGGGAAAGTTTCTGGAAGAAATACGCATGTGACAACGATGATGGCAAAGATTTAGATCCTAAATACCATCACAACAAACAATGGTGGGCACACTGGTGGAGTCAATACGGTTGGAAAATACATTTTGATGATGATTGTGAATTTAAGGATCTTGTACACAAACATCCCAAACGTGACTTAATCAAAAGAATCTTGGGATCCAAGAGTTTAAAATTAAGATCCCAATAATAGTCATTTCGTAAGACATTTTCTATATCATTGTTCAAAAGTAAATTACTACCGATACTTTATTGAAATTATAAATAACCAGATTATACATAGAAATAACATAATTATTATGTTTGGCTCTTTTATATTTACGTATATTAATTTGTGCGTTAGAAAATATTATCATAGATTTAAATGTATAGTATCGTAAATTTATTTTTGGTTTTAATGTAATTTTATAAAGTTATCGAATAATAAAATTTAGTGTTGTCTACAACAAAAAAATTTTATCTCTACAATTGTTATTATTGTTCCCAGTTCTTTGCTTTCAATTGTATAATGAGACATTAAAAGTGAAAACAAATCGTCAAATTGTTTGGTGTTAATGAAGAATTTATTATTAAATTTAAGTTTTCAATGGTATATTTCTTACACTATAAAATGGAAAACACGGTCTAAGTATCTATAACATTATTTTATTTTTCTATATACTAATAAGTAAATTGAAGCTATTCCTTAAATTATTTTGTAACCTTTCTTGTAATTAAATTTTTTAAATTTAAATTTGAATCAAACTAGAATGGGTGCACAAAAGTTTTAAAAGCTTGCCGTTGCAATTTGTTTGTTTATTCCAAACTTATAATCATTTCGAAATATGTAGATGAGCGATAACAAATCTTGTTAGATATTTATTGATAAAAAAAAATTTAGTGATAACAAACTTGGAACAAATTACACCAATAAAAACAAATCATAAAATTTAGTGATAGGGTTGATTAATCTTCTATATATTATCCGTCTATCATCACATGATATTGTATAACACTACCCGTTGTTTAACAACGGGTCGAAGCACCTAGTTTTAATACAAATTCGAATATAACGATAGTAATTTCATTGAATTGTGGAAATATAATTTTTTTTTATTATACGACAATATCAGGAAAATTTTTAAACTGAAACATTTATTACCATTTGGAGTTGTATAGTTGGTTTGTTAAAGTTATATACTTAAAAATAGATTACTTCGAACAATTAAAATGTGTATCGTTAATGGACCAAAGCTCATACCGTATTTACGCGAAATAACGCGCAGGGGTGAAATTACAAATTTTTACCTAAATTAAGCTTAATTCGGGCCATTATTCTAAATAACGCCCCTGTGCGTTATTTCGCGTAAATACGGTAATAGGTCTCTAGTAAAGATGAAAGTATAATAGAGACCTGCACAGGCCGGACCGAAATTAGAAATTCTAAAAACTTCACAAAATTGCAGGCCCAATACGTCATAAACATAGTAAAATGCGGGCCGAACTTTCAAAAATAAATTTTATTTTGCAGGCCCCTAGCCTATAACAGAAACACAAAAAATCAAAACAAAAATCATTCATCGAGACCGCCTTCTAAGTACTAATAAAAGGCACAGTACCTATTAACTAGGGCAATTGGCATGCTGGGTATTCGAAAATTGCTAACGAATCTGATTAGATCAGGTTAAATTTGCCAGAAGCTTGGGAACAAAACTTTTTTACCATATAATTATTAGATATTTTGTTACATCAAATACTGTACTTAACGTTAATACTATTCAGTTAAATTTATTATATTCTATTATGAATTGCGTCCTCATTTTGCAATCGAAATTATTGGGAGCATATTATGAAAGAATACTGTTCCATAAAAATGATTAGGTTGTTCGAAATGATAAAGATGGCCGTTATATAAATATTGTGTTACATATCGTTATACATGTATATGTTGTGCCTCAGATCGATTCTTGCCTCAGGTGATAACTGAGGCACCTCAGATGTCGATCGTCATATGAG